TTATGAGTGCAGATGTAGACCAGCTACAGCGAAAGTGAAGTCTTCTGAGACCTCAATAATAATAATAATAATAATAATAATAATAAAATAATAATAATAATAATAATAATAATAATAATAAAAAGTCGGCTTGCCTTTTCTTAAGTCACTCAGTAAACAACCTGGCCGAGATACTGCATTTGCAGTGAGCTGACCGACATATTTGAAGGTTGTCATTTTGCAGTGCGGTTATTAGACTTTTACTTTAATACGTTTGCCACCCAGTTACTTATTCGAGAGTAAATAATTTCTCCTTGCTTAGAAGCTTGTTGAAGTTCACTGCAGTTTTCCTTTTTGTTGTTGTTGTTGTTGTGGATAGCAGAATAAGTTCGCCATCCACCCTAGTTCCCGCTACCGAATTGGTGATTTCCCTGGCGAGGGTAGACAAACGGAAGACGTTCAAGGTCAGGACTGAATCAAGATCCCTCTATTCTGCTCTCTGAACACGTGCTTATTAACACATCGTAGCAACATCACGTTCCTTTTATGACTTTTTATTTAAAGTTTTTCTTGATTCTAACCCGTGAATCAGCCCATGTTCTTTCATCCGATGACTTGTTTTAAATCGTCATGTTTTTGGCTTTACTCAACCATTTTGTTTAATAAACGTTAAACGTTTCGGACACCGTTAAAGTGCGATACATATCCTTGGTTTAATTTATGACTTTTTTGTTTTGAATCCATTTATCAAAACAAAATTGAACCACAGCATATATATTTTTTAAAAGCAGGTGCAAGCTTCTTTTAACTTACGTGGATTGCAGTAGCGTCATAAAGTAAGAAGTTTTCTTGAACCAGTGACTATCATATAATCATCAATTTTCTGCAAGCTGCCATACCAAGAAAAAAAACCTCGGCATGGAAATGTTTAATCAAATGCAAAGGAATCCGTAAAGCAAGGTCCAAATGCACACGTTCCACATGTTGCAAAGTCTCACGTTTACAAACTAGCATTGACAATGGAGATTATGAGCTTAGTGTATTCGGCAAACGTCAGATTCAAGTTAAGAATTTTTTCAAAATAGAAAATAAGCAGAAAAAAACAGCTCAAAACAATTCTTATGCCGTTATGGATAAAAAATTGCGTGAAACTACTAAATAATGTGTAGAAATAACGAACCGTAAACGACAAGTAATGAAAGGGGAAATTTGGTCTCGTGGTACAAATTCGCGTTTTCAGTTTGACTTATGTAAACGGGCACGCGTGCAAAACGTCTGCGCATGCGAAAGGTCTCTATTTTCAATAATTAAAATTTGCAAAATCTTCCCATTTAAATTGAAAAACATTTAGGAATGTTTGATATGTTTAATGGTTTGCAGCCGGTTCTAGTATTAAGCACAACAAAAAATTACTTAAACTAACTTAACTAACTAACTGGTAAAGTCGTCCAGTACAAGGTTTTTCCGTCCTTGTTTTTCCACTTAGCATGCATTGGTCGATTTCGTTGTTCGCATTGACCGAGCTCAGCGACATGATGACCAAAACAGCAACAATGGCTACGGCGAAGTGCTGCCAGAGCGAGCGTAGACTTTCAAACATGATTTTCGCCTTTGGTGCAAGGAGGAAAGTATGTGGTGCAAAAGAGAGAAACTAAAGCAATTAATAAACTTTGTGTTCGTGAAATTCTAAGCTTATCTTTTGTGTGTGGAGCTTACTTTTTTGAATTTCGCGGCCGGAATCTAGTTTGTTTTGGTATCGCGTATAATTTTGAACGCATGCGCACTGCGTTTTTCACGCGTGTCATCTACACGTGATGCTTAACCTCTCCAATAATGAATATGCGATGGCTATACGCATTTGAGGGAAATGAATCCTCCGATCCCTAATTTTTATTCTGCTCACAGTTTGCGCTCTAATAATAAATCTTAAATTAATATATCAGCAAGTTTTCAAATGCGCATTAGGACGAAAAAAGGGAAAAAAATCGAATAACCTAAATATGAGAATAAAACTTTATGCATCTGAACGAAACCGAAGTCATAATACTTCTAAAAAGCCACCATTTACAGTGAAGGGACAGTTTAGGTCAGTTTATACTCCCCCGAATTGCATGTTGTAAGAGTATGAATTACTTCGTAGAAAAGTAATGTCGAATCTATTTTAACCCGTACCATTTTACGATAAATATGAAGAATGCTCTGTCCCGTTTAAACCCAAATAGGAGTGAAATAATTGTGTTACAAATAAATATTCATGAATTTACAGGGACCGCGGAGCAAGGTGAAAAGTGGGAGGGCTGACAATTGAAAATAATTTTTTCATATTGAAAATGGAAAAAAGGAATAAAATCATAGTATTTGATTTTCCAAAAGTGGGGGCGGGGGCGCAAAAAAGTGGTGGGGCCGCGGCCCTACCAGCCCCTCCCCCTCCGCGGTCCCTGAATTTTCCTCAGATCATTTTCTATGAATCGGTACAAGAGGACTGCTTATGCACATGTCATCGGTTTACCCCGGGGGTAGATCCCCGGGACAACCAGGGGAACATGTCGGGGAATACAGGGGGATAGATTGGATTCTTTGCTCCTGGGGAGGGAAAAATTCACGACATTGTTTTAAGGTTGCAGGGAACCGGACGCGGACGGTAACCACAGGGATATATATCATGGGGATGAATCGCAAAAGGATTTTATAAAAGGAGAAGCATTACGTCTTTTAAGAGCTAATTCAGTTAGGGAAAACTTTGAACAAAGCAAACGAGACCTTGAACAAGGCTACCCTTAAACGCTCGTTCAAGAAATACTGACTGAAGTTATGTTCACCGACAGAAACGAGGTTCTTCGCAACAGAACAAAACAAACGAGATTTTACCGTTCGTTACTACCTACAATATCTACAATCACGCCACACCGAACCTCAAAAAGATTCTCACGAAACACTGCAAGATACATCATTCAACAGCAACCTAAGCTTAAGCACATCTTTCACCAGTCACCGATTGTCTCCTACAGGAAAGAAAAATCTCTCAAGGGCATTCTAGACCGCCCGAAAATTCCTTCAATCTCGCAGCAATCACAAAATCAACAAAGCAGTTAAAAGGTAGAACTTGGCAATCTGCATACGATCACCTTAAGGTGACTCGACCCAGTTTTTTTGGGGGGGTACCATCCTACTTTGAAGCTCTCTGGTATCGCCACCTTTACTTTTATCGTAAGTCTAACACATAGAATGGATAACATATAGATCAATCTAGAATATAACATAAAATGTTTGGCGATCGGAGTAAATGTCACGTGGTTATAATGCCACGCCCCTTTGAGGTCCGAGTCGAAAATCTGCTGTTGCCGGCATTTTTTCGTGAAAATCTCTCGGCTACACATAGTGCGCATTAGTGCCTTGCGCTGAACAGAGTTTCACCAAAATCGCAAAGACCCAATTCGAGAAATTCAGCGGTTTCCAAATTTAGGTCATAATTTATGCGAAAATGATAAGCAAACTTTACACGGATTATATCTAATAAACTATGAGATTCATCTCTTTATTTTGGGCATCGTTATAACAGATGGGTCCTTGCAAGTCAGCAAAACGCTTTAGGGCCTTGTAAATGCGCGCGATTTCGAGCAAAGCAAACATGTAGAAATTATAGTTTTAGCCGATTTGTTGACGTTTGTTAGCGTTTAAGACTCCTTCTCACGAAAAAAGCAGTTTCTTAAAAATTCGTTGTTTTTTTTCCTTCAAATTTTTTCAGGGCCACAATTGATTAACTAACTACCAGGATTCTGAATGTCATGGTCATTCAAAAACTGTGACATTATCTTCTGTAAGCCCAAACTTGAGTAAACATTGAAGATTTTTAGCGTTTTGCTTGAGTTTGTGCTTTGGGAGTTGTCTATTTTTTCTAGTCTGTCATGATACAGCATTCTTGTTCAGCACGCGTGCATTGACCGCGCTTGGCTGACTTCCGAATGCTCACCGAGATAAGATAATTTTGGTACAGTGAGACAGGCCATCGCGTGTTACATAGAGGTTTAACTCACAATTTTTAATCAATTCTCGTGCTTCTTGTGCTTTTGCAAAAAAATCAAGAAGGGCTGCACACTAAATCTACTTACTGTTAAAAAATATCATTTTTTCATAGGTTTAATGTAAGCCAATAATTAAACCAACTCGTGACGGGAATCCCTTCTATTTTCTCATACTAAATTATCATATCTCGGTGAGCATTCGGAAGTCAGCCAAGCGCGGTCATTGCACGCGTGCTGATCAAGAATGCTGTATAATGACAGACCAGAAAAAATAGACAGCTCCCAAAGCACAATGCGTAAAATTTCAAAAACGCCCCCTCCGTCAAGTGAATCCCAGTTATATGAGGTGGATATCAGGGGAATTTTTCGTTGAGAAGCACTTGACCCAGGGGACTTCGTCTTATTAAATTCCCCCACCCATCGGGGATATCCTCAACTTTGCTCCACCCATTTTACAATCCCCCTGGTTGGCCCGGGGGTCTACCCCGGGGCAAGCCGATGACACGTGCATTAAAGGGGCTGTGTCACGGCAGTCCAATTTGGCCAATTACTCGCCCCCAATCGCTATGGAACTTAAAGTGAGCAAAGAAATTTCATGGAAATGACAAAATCAGAGATTCGAGACAAACAAAATATGTCTCCCGAGCATAATTTTTGAAGTTGCAAACGGCACAGATCAACTTTGAAAAACTGTTAGCCTGAACAGTTTCCAAAAACCCTAATTTCAATCCTTTTCAGTCTTCTTCAGTTTTGCGCCCATCCGTGGCATCTGTTGTGTCTTTTGTGTTATTTTAACCTTCCTTTAATGTTTTGTAAAAGCGGTTATTTTTATGTTTCTCTTAATTTAGCGGGTATTTTGTAATAACCTAATTTGGCTGAATTTCGTGACACAGCTCCTTTAAACAGCCACTTTTTCTCAGGTGTGGTACCACATCAAACAAGAAATAAGCAAAGCAAAAATATAGCAAAATGACATCTTCAAAAAGGTCACGACTCATTGGTTAATACGCATCATTTAATGTTAACAGATGCAACTCCCTAATATCTACCCTGGCTGGAGATTTCCGTGCGAGAACACTAAAGTACTCTGAACAAGGCAAGAACTACATGTTGAAGATTAACAGTAGCATTCAAATAAATCCTTTTCTTCGCGCCGTCCCAACTATCTGAGCGCCTGGAACAAGCTACGTTTCAAGGGTCGATTTTAGTTCAACTGTCTCGCAGAATTAGCCAACAACAATTCATATCAGAAAAAATATTACACTTATTACAGGTCTAAGATCGCGAATACAGTACTAAGACACACACTCCAGTGGCTACACTGCGTAGTCCTAGCCTGTCGCGATGAGGCTATTATCGACCAAAGATTTTATGATCAGCAAAAACATGAAACTTTGCCAGATTACAACTAATCCTTTTTGGACATGGGGCCAACCTAAATTCACCATTGGCTACCAGCACTGCGCGCTACTTTGACCTACATGAAAACAAGACGCTAAAGCGAGCACTAATCGCCCAGTTGGTGTAAGAATGAAGATCATTGATTCATTTCATTGCCACTGTAGTACAAGTAGTGTTCAGTTTGTTCCTCGCCAAGGTAGTAAGTGAATTGGGGATCCATTCATTGCTTCCTAAGCTTTCATTTGTATTGAACTTTGGTCCAGCCGTCTGCATCAGACTGTTCCGCGGGGGGTCGTTCACGGCCACGACGAGAGGCAGACCAGGATTTCCCTGAAGAGATAAAGTACAGAACTTTACAACATTTACGTCACAAGGAAAATTTCACTTATTTACAGGCTAAGCAAAAACTCATCGCGATCTCTTTCTACTGTGTATTTCCCCTCATCTTGTGATTTAATTGTAGTCACTCCCTTGGGTACTTTCAGTCGTTTGTACCCAATTTCCCTAATGCAGCGGACAACCGATCAGTATCGTAGGAAGTATTTCCTTTCATTCACTTCCTTCAGATCTTTTTCATTTCATGAACTTAGACTCCTGAGCTAATAGCCTGAGAAAACAGCTGACATTTCCTTCATTTCGCGACGCTACCACTAGTTATGAGTAGTTTCCCCGCGAAATGACGTCGTCTGAACAATGACTGCAGAAATTCCATACTGATGACGTGTCACTACCCAGATCAGAGTAGTGCTTTCAGATTAGCTAAATCAAAGTTCCCTCGAGGTACAACCAATCAGAAGCACTATCCAGATCTGGGTAGTGACACGTCATTAGTATGGAATTTCTGCAGTCGTTTCTCAGACGCCATTTCGCGGGAAGAGCAGAGGTGGCGTCGCGAAATGTGGGTTGTTTTCTCAGGCTACTGAGCTAAAGAACAAACCTTCAGTTCGAGCAGGTGGTGGTTCCCGCCTCCACTGGTCACGCCCCGGCTCTTCTCTTTCCCTTCTCCACCCATCCCTGTCTCGGTCACCACCACGGTCATCACCTCTCCAGCCTGAACGCTCACGGTCACGATCACCACGGTAACGATCACCACCTTCACGATCACGATCTCCTCTGAAGCGGTCACTATCGCCATCTCCCCGGTAACGGTCTTCACGGTCACCACCACGCCAACCATCCCCAGAGTCCCGGTCACGCCTTCCCCAACCACCTGGTCTATCACGGTCGTCACGTCCACGGTCATCACGACCACTTCCTCGCCAAGAACTTGGTGGAGGACGGTCACGCTCATCACGTTCACGATCACGATCACGATCACGCCATCCGCTTGACGGAGGACGGTCGCGTTCATCTCTTCTCCAGGCACTTCCCCGATCATCCATTCTTCCACGGTCATCCATTCTACGATCATCCATTCTCCCACGGTCATCCATTCTTCGATCGTCCATTCTTCCACGGTCATCCATTCTCCGATCGTCCATTCTTCCACGGTCATCCATTCTCCGATCGTCCATTCTTCCACGATCATCCAATCTACGATCGTCCATTCTTCTTCGATCGTCCATTCTTCCACGATCATCCATCCTACGATCGTCCATTCTTCCACGATCATCCATTCTGCGATCATCCATCCTTCCACGATCATCCGTTCTACGATCGTCCATTCTCCCACGATCCATGTCTAAAGGGGTTGGAGAAAGACAAAGTTACCATTTTACTTAACCACCCATCGGAACAACTCCAGTAGCTAATCGCATTGCAACGGTTTTATAAAGCGACTATTAAAAAACACGATAGAAGCGACCCAAATCATTACCACGTCTTGCTGGTCCATCCCTGTCCACAGTCCTCCTCCAATTCACTCCTTCGTCACGAGGTCCATCTCTGTCGCGTTCATCTCGTCTCCAAGGCGATTCTAATGAAGAAAACAAATGTGCAATAAGCACTAATCTTTCAAGTCTCAACATAAGCAATCAGTTTTTAAATTTCGTAAGAGAAGAAAATTTAAAACATGTATTTTGGTAAAAATCTTAACCCATTCACTCCAGGGAATTTTGCCGAAAGAGAAACGCCTTTTGAAGCTACAATCTTGGGCAAAATAAAATGGAACAGCAAACCCCCATCCCCCCCCAAATCAAGGATGAGGCCGCGCGAAGGGCAAAAACGCGCCATTTTCCCATCCTTGATTTGGGTGGGAAGGGGGGGAGGGGGGGGGGGGCTAGGTTTTCCATTTATTTTGTCCAAGATTGTATCGAAGGTGTCTAGGTCACGAAATAGTGGTCACTCCTAATTAGTGAGTTATATTTCAACGCATTTATCGCTACAAAACACTGGTTTCTGACACGCGCGTCACCGGTCCATCCCGGGTCTAAGTTTAGGCATTACAAAAGAGATATTCTCGGTAACACAGAGCATATATAATACGTAGTTTAACTTTGCTAAGAATTACAAGAGGTGAGAAGAGATATTCTTCATCGTCGTAAAACACTTAAAACATGCCATCTAGAAAAAGAATACCCGAGGAAACTAAGGCTACAATTAGAGCTCTTAAGGCTACTAAAGATCTCACGCTAGAAGAAATTGCTCAGCGCTGCAAGGTTTCCAGGACAAGTGTACACCGACTAACAAGTGCACAGGAAAGAGTGCCGGAAAACAGGAGACATTTTTGTGCCCGAAGGAAAAAAATTTCCCCCGAACAAGAGGCATTGATTCTCGGAAGCATTGAAGAGTTGAAAGACCAAGAGGGCTCCTTTTCGTCTCGGCGACTAATGGAACGGACAGGAATTCGTCATGTTTCTGATCGAACTGTTAGACGTCTTCTAAACAGAAATGGTTACTTCTTTCTGCAGGCACGCAAAAAGGGACTCATGAGCCAATCGGACAAAGACATGAAAGTCACATTTGCTAGAAGGATGCAAGAAGATTACCCCCCGAATGTATGGAAAGATTCTATCGCTTGGATGGCGTCTTGTTTGTATACAAGACAAACCCCTTGGACCAGGCCCGCGCCCCCAAAGGAAGAGTGTGGAGAAAATTCCTTTTTTTCAGTAATTTTGGAAAAGTTTGGCCATAAAGAAATTGACAACATTTTGCTTAAATGCATTAACAAGTAATTAAAGGAAAGGTTTTAAAAAATATGATGACAAAGTTTCGACGTTCTCGTACGCCATTGTCAAGTCAAAAGACAATAGCGTATGAATGTTCTATAAAATATAAGAAAACAACAAAAGATCATTAAAGAGAATAGTGACATATCAGAATATGTTACAAGTTTCTACAAAGAATTCCGCACTTTCTGACGCACTCTGAGTACTTACAGACTTCTTTGATGAATAGCATCTCTTACATGAGGCTGTTTAAATATGTATAGTATTATGTAACACCATTAACCCCGCTACTTCCACCCGATGATTTTTTTCGTTTTCTTTCTTTCGTTATTTTTATTTATTTGTTTATTTTGGCCCTCTGCTGTTTAGGTGTAGTAATTAACATTATTACTGACAAAAGTGAAAAACGAAACAATTTTTGGACCTGAAAGGATACAAGAATTCTTTCTTCATTCTAGACTCATATATACAGGCTAAACAACGAAGAGAGAGTATGATATTACTAATTAATTAAAGCGACAAGTATCTCTTAAATTATTTTATCCTTTACACGGTATTAAAATATATTTAACAATGTACACTTTCAGTGTTCTGGTAAATGACAAATAAAACGCCCGCAAACGACATTTTATTTTTAAAAAGTTCGTTCCATACAGTAGAATCGATCCTCTTAAAAATTTAGAATAAATTCAGCAAAGCACCTTGCGCAAGATGGAATGGATACTTGTTCGGCTTCTCGAATTTGTCGTTGAAACTGAAAAGAGTGCCAGCGTACCGCCATCATTTCGGTTTCTCTTTCGTCTATCACCCCACCCTTGGGGTGTCTCTAGTAAACTAAAGGTCTTTGGAAAAGTAGAATTTGGGGGCAGGAAGGTGAACCGGCTGTCCCTCTAGCATTAGAAGCAGATCATGCCAGTGAATTATTTGGGGGTTCTATCTAAAGTCATTTAAGAAAATATTAATAACCTTTGCTTTTTCTGCTCCTACCCACGCAAAAGTGGATGTAGCTGGGTTACTGAATGACCAGCACACAACGTTTAAAGGGTTCAGTAAAAATGTTTTTCCAGTGTTGGCGGGGACCTTGAATAGAATGTTTCGAAATTTTCCCCTCCCTTTTTCCAGCAGGTCTTTAACAGCTTGTGAGAAGGCCTCCCGCGACACGTCGTTCCACCTAACAATCTGGTTTGCACACTGCAGCCACTACCCGTTACATTGATCGACACAAGGCTCTTCTAGCGACTTCTCTAAAAGCTCCAGCCTTGTTAATTTGCTCCGCTCGATCACGTCGCTCGCGTTCTCCATTTCCCACGAAGTTGCAATCACTTCTTCCACCACCTTATTTCCTCTGTTGAACACGAACTCCGTCAGGTCTGTTTTGCCCTCGGCTTTTTGCACGTTAGCGAGTGCGAGTAGTTCCGTTCTTTTACGGATTCCCTTATCGATAATTATTTTCGAAACTTCAAAGCTACTTAGACGTCGGGAACGCTTTCGCTTAACGGCTTTGCTGGCCTGCCTTCCTCTATCTCGTTTTCTCGACCCTCCCTTTCTTACCCGCTTGCGGCACTGGAAGATTCGTCATCGTGGTCCCTTGTGGCTGCTGGTGCACTTCGTTGTTTTCTAGCTTGACTCGCTGACATGGTTCTCGGTGGACCAGAGTTGGCCAAGTCAGGATGATCAGGAGACTGAATGTAGTTTCTGTCTTCTTTGGTTGTATACAACCAAGCAGTGTAATAGTTAACGTGCCGATAAGAAAAGTGAACATGAATGCTCCATTTGTTTAAATAGTCTCGAATGGGCATCCACCTCTTAATACGGTTTAACTTTATAGCCATGTGAAAATGCTTTCCTCCTCCCTTCTTATGACTTTCTTGGCAGCACGACCACTGTACAATTTTTGCTTTCGGTCCCTCGCAGTTTAAAACTGCTTCACAAACGGCACCTGCGAACGACTTTCTCTCAGGGAAAATACGGAGATCTGCTCTGCCATAAGTCAGTAAGTAAACGCTTCGGACTTTGGCTGTTTCTGAGTATTTATCAGAGCTGTCGGGGCTTTCGCTCGACCTGTTTGATGTGTACTGAGAAAGCAACTCCATCGTCATATTCTGGCAAAGAGCGTTTGTAGGTTTAAGTAGAAATATACAACCGATGCAGTTTGCGCAATAATTTCAAAAGAATTTTCGTCGAGAAAAAGAGTCAGTTTTGTGAAAGAAGTATGTTACTATTATGACACTAATAGTGTCATGTATTCATGCGTTCTACTTCTTTAATAAATAAAATACACAAAAAGCATTTATTGAATGTCATTAGTAACATTTTTTGCAATCTCGCTCGGGCTTATTCATGATGAGGCGAGGTTTGCGTTTAAAGTGTTAACCTTCGAAAGCTTGCGACCGCGAGTTTTAAGTCATGATAACCATACAGTACGCTTTGGGTAACGCAAGTCTTACTCTCGGACAATCTTGGACAAAATAAAATGGAACAGCAAACCCTTATCCCCCCCCCCCCAAATCAAGGATGAAGCCGCGCAAAGGGCAAAAACGCGCCATTTTCCCATCCTTGATTTGGGGGGGAGGGGGGGAGGTCTAGGTTTTCCATTTATTTTGTTCAAGATTGTAGTCGAGCCGTTTTCTGGTCACGGTCTGGCTATAAAAAACCAAAACTGCCCAAAACGCCGTTTATAGCTGATTCAATAATGGTTGCTTTAGGCATTGGGAGGATTAGATGGGAGGAAGTGTAGGTGGGTAGTGGAAACAGATTTTCATTGGAATATTTGGGTCAACGTTACACGGTTTGTTTAGCCATAGAGTTTGAAAGGCCTCTTTTCCTTGCAAAAGTTTATTTGAGTTAGATGACAAAGTTGTCTTTGACCGTTAAAATGATGACGTCAAGAGAGGTACAACGGATGTGGATGTGCACGGGCCGTTCCGGGCGGTTCAGGGGGAATGAATTAAAGGAAACCTTTTCACTAGCCAGAACAAAAAATGCTGAAAGAAGAGACGATGACTTAATAACTTGCTTTATGGCAGTGAATATTGTAGTGAGTGGCTCATATGAGCTAGCTCAGCTTACCTCTTTCATCTCTGACGTCTCTTCGCGGGGGACCCCATCTATCCCTGTTGTCTCTGTTGTCTCCATCTCTCATGTCCCTCTCTCGAGCAGCTTCCCTTTCTTCAATTTCCTTTTCCCTTTCTCTCTTCTTACGCTCCATCTCATTCAACCTGGCGATTCTCTCCTGATACTCACGCTCCTTTTCCTCTTTTTCCTTTCGCTCAGCCTCCTCACGCTCTTCGCGCTCTACAACAAAATGATATACTGCATTTGATAACTGTTTACAATGTACATGTAAATATATCCTAATACAAATCATCATCATCATCATCATCATCATCATCATCATCATGCAATATATAGCTGATTCAGCAAAGGTTGCTTTAGGCATTGGGAATTAGCAGTTGGGCGTTTGGGCATACGGAACAATGTCATGATTTCCCGAGTGACCACCAAACAATAGCTTCCTTTTACCCAATTCCCAATGCCCAAAGCAACCTTTATTGAATCAGCTCTATAATTATGCAGATGATATGCATTCAAAGAAAGCAACTGGGCAATACTATTTCTTGGATACCTACTGATCAGCATTGCAGTGTGACACAGTTTATTATAGGGTCAAGGTTATAAATCAAGCAGTTGAGTAAGCAACTCAGGTATGCCCCGTGTTTTAACTTGATAAAACACTACCTGCGTTTATCAAATAGTTTCGTTCTATTGTCAAATATAACTGCAGATGACAGAGCACGGCTTAAAACAAGGGTATATCTACGAAAGCAACATGCAACAATACGCCTTCAAAATCAATCTAACTCTGTTAAAACAAGTACTGTAGCCATAAATAAATATGTGTCATATCTTACCTCGCCTTTCTTTTTCCTCCCTTTCTTTTCTTTCTCTTTCTTCCTTTTCAATTCTGCGCTGTACCTTTCTTTCCAAAATACGCTCTTTACGACGTTCTTCCATACGCCTCTTACGAGCCTCATCCAAACGCTTTTGAAATTCCTTCATCTTTTCCTGGAAAAAGAATCAGAGGAACTCAATTAATTCTCAGGTCGAGTGCCTAACAAACATTATTCTAGGAAAGGGAGGATCAACTCTATAGCGCCGTTAACTTGCTATTATGTGAAAAAAAAAGGCTCTCGGTCGGAGGGGAGAGAGCGGGGCGCTTTTCTGAGGAATGGAGGGCGGCATGTTACATTTCATAAATCACTACACGTCTATGTTCACGCACCCCTCATCATTGGCGACTTTCTCACGACTTTTTGTTTGAAACCCATCTATATGACAAGGTACATTGTACATGATGCGTTTCTCACCTCATGAGCTGCTTGCCGAGCCTTGTTGAGGTTTTCAAGAAAAGCGTCTTTGTCAGGAACCATTCGTTGAAGTCTGCCACTAGTTTCTACCAATTTCTTGTGCTCGGTAACAGTTTTGTTAATCTGCCACAAAATAAGAAATAATTTATTAATAATTTATTAATTAATACTTTTACCACCTAAGCTTATGAAACGAGCTTACCCCAAGTAATTACTTATCTTTTTAAGCTTCAACAAGAGTAGCCTCTCACGTTGACCTTCTAAGGGCTTCGTCACGCGTTCGGGAGGATTGCGTGACGAGCGAAAAGGAGGTCTGCGTGGGAGGCTACAATAAGAGGAAAATCAACAAAAACTTCAAAACTTCTTACCCTCTCTTCTTCTTGCTCTTCCCAAAACTCCTTATCTTGCACTAAGTGCTCTTCATACTGTTTGTTCAAAAGTGGAATTTCCTCGACACGCATAGCTCTTACAAAGTAATCCATCTACACAGAGCAAACAAAAATAAAGGCTTCACGATTTTAATAGTTCTCCAGGTGTGGCTTGAAGTTATGTTATCTAAAGCAAAACTAATTAACACAATAATTATTCAACAACATGGTAATTTGCAGAAGTAACAACAGGACAGTAATCATGGGAGGCCAACAAGAGGAATGTGTCCATGGGTGTATGGGCTTGAATTCAGCTAGCATGTGAGGCAGGCGTCCAAAAGGGACGGGAGGGTAAGGGACGACAGATATACTCATAGTCTGCCGGTATTTATAGTTTTTTCCCCTATTTTTAAACAAGGTTCGTACCCTAACTAAACTCTTCATTGTCAATAAGGCAATCGGCTGTAGGGAATTACAACTCAAAACAAAGACAAAAAGCTTGGTTGATAAGTAATATTTTCCACCTCATACAGATCGTATGTTTGTTTTATCTGCGGAGCGTTTTTCATCAATTCTTGCTCCAGAGAATTTCAGCTTTTTATTTCCTTCAATTTTATCCTGCTTTTCATATCTGGTGAGTCAATAAACTCATAGTCCATAACTCAAGTCAAACATTTCCTTCAAGGTATGTCTCATTTCCCCTACCATTGAGGGAAGGGAAAGGTTGGTTGAAGGGGGAAAGGGGTGAGTACCTTTTTCTCCTGTGTCTTGAGCCTTATCTGCAGTTCTTTCTTCTCTTTATCAAGCTGCTCAACTTGTCTGGCCAGAATATCATCGGCATCCATGGCTTCTATTTCCTGTTCACATTGACAATGAAATGTTGCTTTTTAATGTCCCCCACAGACAGAATAGTGTTACTAGAATAATTCTTCTATCAGGAAATTACTTTCACTTTAAAAGCAACTCCACTGCAAATGAATGTCCTAGACAATGGTCACATTCTACAGCACATAAAACAAAAAACCAAGCCTTAACAAGTATCTATTCAGAATAATGGATACAAAAAGACGCCATCTACAGTTGTAGTTGCAAGAAATATCGGCTATGAAGTTAATCACCTCTTCTGTTAGGTCCTTCAATGCTTTAGCTCCAACAGATGTTTTCTTGAGAGCAGCAATCTTGTCCATGGCCTGTTTCTTTTCTATCTCTTGTAGTTCTTGTTTCCGACGCAATGCCTCACGCTTCTGTCTCTCTTCATGAAGACGCTTCTGCTCAGCTTCTAAACTCTCCTGCTGTTGTAACCTTAACATCTTCTGCTCTTGTTGTTCCTGATGTCAAAAGAATTACCGGTAAGTCTAAGTTGCTTGAAAGACTGTGCCTTGTTCATAGACAGATAGCTAGAACTACAAGCCGAAGTGCTCTTCAAAGCTTTCGAGATACAGTGCGGTAAATATACATTTTGTACATAGTCGATGTACATCCTAGTCTCCTCTCAGAATTTTTAACCTTACCACACCCAACACGCCCAAAACCCGAAGAAGAAGAAGGAAAGGCACAAATACTCTTCTTTCCTTTCCCTTTTTAATGCCTGCCATGCAAGCTGAACTGCTTATTGTAACATAATTATGCTTCCAAATACAGTTCCATGGATATTATACTTAACTAAACTTAAAAGACGGGGATGGGAGGAGAAAGGTTAGTTGATGATCTTTTTCTGTTTGTTTTAATATCCTGAAGAACATTTTTAGCAGCCCTCCTTTCCCCCCTCCCACCCCATCTAAAAAAAAAGCAAGCGCTTGATACTCACCCTTTTAACATGGAGTGATTCTAAGTATTCTTTGCGAGCTTCAATCACAGCCTTCCTCTCAAGCATCTGCTTGTGTTCCTTCTTAGCTGAGCGCAAATACAGCTGAACAATTCTCTGCTGTTCATCGTGGCACTTTTGCTGTAAAAGGAAAAAATAACACTTTTGACCCCGTCAAACAACAACAAAAAAATCACAGAGAGCTGTTTTGACACTGGATGTTCACTGACCACAATTTTTTTCTATTTCAAGCCCTGATATGCTTACCTATGCAATTGCAAGTAAACAAAATAGTAGTCCAATTGAAATTAAAGAGAGAGAGAGAGACAGAGAGAAAAAAAAACACAAAGGTAATGTTACTGATATTTTATAGCATACTAAAACTCACAGTCAAAGTAAACTTGCTGTTTATCAGTCTATGGGTGGTTGAATATTATCCTCACCACAGGTGGATGTTAAGACAAGGTGGTGTACACTTAATCATAACATACAGCAAGCACAAAAACTTTACACAAGTACAAATAATAATAAGCTTAGAACAAGATGCAGTGATGACTGACAGCAAACAGAAAGCAGCTGTTTGCTGTAAATGCAATGCTTAACCTCTCAATTGTAACAAACCTTGATAGCCTCAGGTTTAATTTTATTGATGGCCTTGTGCAGTGCTGAAGACATCAGAGTCAACTGATTTCTTAGCCGTTCTGATGGCATTGACTGTAACAAAAGAGAAACAAAAATAGTGACTTAACAAAACAAAAAAAGTTTTAACTTTTAATAACCAACAGTGTAAACTTGCTGTTCATCAGTCTATGGGTGGTACAGTTTATCCTCATCACAGGTGGATGTTAGGACAAGGTGGTGATAATTTTGTCATCACATACAGCAAGCATTACTACAACTTTTATAATATTATTTATAATGGTAGAACACAACTGATGAAAATAACTTTTCCTTATAAATATTAGCAGCAAATTTGCTGATTCACATGAACTCCATTTTACATAGCCTGCAACCTCATTGCTGCACAAAGCAACATTTTCTTGCATTTGCCCTAAAACTGTCTACTTTAAATATTTTTTGGCAAACTTTGCTGTAAATCTTTATTCTTTAAATTATTTCAAAAGAAGTTAAGATGGCACACAATCCACCACGAAATTCACTAATTTTAATTTTCAGTGGACAAAAACCTTGAACCAGACTATTTTAAGCAATATTGCATTCTTTTTAACACTTTTCAAGGGCTATAAATGTAATAAGTTATAAGAAATAACTCCAAAGAAAAGGTTCTCATGGAAGCCCGAGAAAATAAATTTCATATTTCACAGGAATAGAGCAAACACAGGTTAAATTATCATGCGTAAGATTTCATTTTGTGAAATTTGAAGCTCTTGAAGTTTGTTTTCTCGGGCTCCCATAAGAACCTTTTGTTTGGAGTTATTTTTCATATAACTTATTTCATTTATGGCCCTTGAAAAGTGCAAAAAAGAATGCAATATGATTTAAATTACTCTGGTACAAGGTTTTTGTCCACCACTGAAAATTAAAATTACTCAATTTCCTAATGGATCCTGTCTTATCTTTTTCATCATCATATAACATAAACATAGTTTATATGTTTAAGTAATAGCACTACAATAACATGTAGCATCTTCGTGTGAATCAAGTTACCAAAAGAAATAGTAACCCAAACAAGCCCTTTGAAGCAGGTCATTCACAAGGTACATTTGTACCAAACCGCTATGCTGGAGAGAAAGGGACACACTGGGATAAAACAAACAAAGAAAATAACCATTTTAAAAGAATGCTGATGTGGAGTCTTTGTTTGTCTTGTTCCACTGCATTCCTTGCTAAGCCTCTCCGGCAAGAGGGTTTTGTACCACATGAATGACTAACTGTAAAGAGTATATTACCCTTTGTAGCTTAAAGATAAAGATTTTTTGCTTACCTGAAGATAAGGCCCCTCTGGTACCTCCTCTTTATGTGCCACATGAAGATCAAGTCCAAAGCTGACTGCTTTACTTCGATGGTCAATACGCACCTAACAAAAAGCAAAGCCAAACAAAACAATTTTCTTTAGAGTATATACAATAGGTAACTGAATGGCTTTACATCATGTTAATTTTCAGGACATGGGCTTCACTGCGTCTATGGCAGAAAATCATACAGAGAAACTTATGGAGAACTTAAAAAAGTGGTTCTCCTAGTTTGTTTAAATACTACCAATAGGAGAAGTGGCCACCTTTGAAGAGGTCAGACAAATCAAGAACTTGCATGTATGAACTAAACATCAGCAGGGTAAAAAAAGGTTGTGCTTGTAGAGGTTCAACTTAGATACACAAACCAACTCTGATCACATGAATAAACAGATACATAACGTACGTAATACATACATTTAGCCAGAGCTAAAAGTGAAGATCCCATTTACGCATTAATATCATTTTTACTACACACAATGGAAGTGGAATCATTGCAAAGAAATCCACAAATCTATACGTGCGATGCCCCTGCGATAATCAACACATATACATACCTGTAGTTCATTTGCCAAAGCAACATCTACTATGGCTCTTTCCAGTTGAAACTCTGTGGCAAATGGCACTAATGACAAGAGTCGCTTGAACTCCACAGTCTGGTACACTTGAGAAACCTGTTATTATATACACAGTTCAACAGTAAATATGTCACTGTACCCACACAGAGCCCTGGAAAGCAGATAAAACTGGGCTCACCTGTTTCAAAAGCCTTACTATAGCCACCTCTTGCAAGGGCTTGATATACTGTGCTAATTCTAAATCTTCATTTTCTTGTAAGAACTCAAAGATGGTGTTAACTCGAGCACAGAGCTTCAGGGGTGAGAATTCCTTCTCCAGACCCTGATACAGGTCTTGTAACTGCGGCATAATATGCTGCTGAACATTCATCTTAATCTACAACATAAACAAGGAAATATGAACATTCAAAGTGAAACAATACAAGGCTTGTTGTTCTCTTTTAGCTTTGTCTTCCTCTTATTGCTGATGACAATAATTAGAGGTGACTTTCTATGTATGAGACATCTTGCAATGCTTTGGTAAATAGTTGTTCTCAGGGTTGTCACTAAGGGCCGGGGGCCGGGGATTTCCCCCGGCTACTCAGAGCATGGCCCCCGGCTACTTTCGTCGTTAAATTTAACCAAAACAACATACCTTTGAAACACACGAAGACTATCCATCAAACTAAGTGCAAGTTTCATCTGCAGCAGGTTTAAGTAATTTTGAAATACTCGTGTGCAAAAATGAAGAAATGTCGGAAAAAGACATCTGACTTAGATTTGGTACTAGTACACACGTGCGAAAACTCTCCGTTTGCGAAATGTCAGTAGGGAGTTTTAGCAACGACGACGGCGACGGCAACGAGAACGTCAAAAAAGCAATAGGTTTATTGCGCAAAACAACTAGTTTGCACGTGCATCACACATTTTTGTACATTTCTTTGCCGTTACTGCACGACTACAACGTGAAAATGCTTAGTTTCACGTTTTATGGAGGACGTAAACAAGCGACGACAAACTTTTCTTTCTCTTTCTAAACTTGAGTGCTGTCCCAAAGAAATCAACTCCAGGGAAATTAGCCTACATTAGCTATTTTCAGCGAATTGAAATAAACGCAACAAAGTTGGAAAAAATGCCAATTCATTTTAAAAGTGACGTTTTCGCTGCCGTCACCTTTGTCGATGCTAAAAGTCCCTAGTTTCAACCGTTATGTCGGCTTTGTGTTGAACATGTCGAAGAAGTGGCAAAGGAATCTTTACTCTTTGTTCACGATGAAAGACCTGAGCAGATCTCTGTTGACATCACAGATGAAGTTGAGGCTTCATCCGAGTGTTAAATCTCCCTGATGCCGATGTTGATGATAATGTGAATTATGATGAAGGCTTTGAAGATGAAGACTAGGACCGATTGCTATGTTTAATAAATTGACGTTTAAGTGATCAGGTCTACATTTAGCTTTAAGTATCGAGTATATAAAATAACGCACGGTCAACGGAAAATGTTCGATCATTGTCCGCAGGTCAAGATCACATCCTCTCAGTTCTACTTCCAAGAAGTTATATATAAAAGGGAAGTTAAGCATTAGCATTACTTTTGCATTCTTCTCCTTGAGTCTCGTTTTGACATGTCAGCGTCGTTTATAAAGTATTAGCCCTGTCTTTTAAACGCTTTTCCGTCAGTTTCTTCGTATGTCAAGTGATATTTCGTTCCTAAATTCGAGACCACTAATTTTACCAGTTGTGCAGTTTAGTTTTGCCATATTTTACCCTGCGATTTTTCGTACGTTACGCTTGTTTTAGCCTTATCATACTTTTATTTTTCAACAAACCATAGTAACCTTATGTTCATGATGCTTTTTCGTACATTCATCGTCCGCTTGTCTTCTTTCTGCTTCTCCGTGGGTTAATTCATTTGTAATATTAGTTTTACTTTTGTTTTCCGTAAGTTGTTCCGTTCTTACGTATAACTAAATGAGGATTTACAATTGATTTTACAGCGCATGTTAATTCATTTGCACCATATAAGAATCGATTGTCCTTTCCACATTTTTAACATTTGTAAAGTATCGTTGTGATTTAACACTTCACTGGCCAGCATGCACCTTGTCTGCGTGAAGATAAGACTGCGCGGATAACGTGACCGCTGCCTACCTGTCATTTTTTTCAGACCTGGTGCTTACATGTATATATCCATTTGGCGGTCACTAAAAAAACCTTCTAATGAGCCTTTACGTAAAGTAAAAAGTTATTATTTTAGTGTCTCACAATATTGTAGTTTCCTTTAATAAAGACCTGATCATCATAAAACCGCTCATGATAGCTGTACTTTCGATGAAGATTGCTTTTTTGGGGCGAGAATGCCTTTTGGAAAACGGTAGAAGTTGCACTTCAAAAACTTCTTGGGGGGGGCAGGGGGTGGTTTCCATGACTGCTTGCGACTTCCCCGGCTACTAACAACAAATACCCGGCAACTTGAAATCTTAGTGACAACCCTGTGTTCTTCTTCAATATTGTCATCTAATATTACATTTAATTTTTATTTTGCCTTTGCAAAATTCAGATTCTTATGAGATAAATCCAATTACCATATTTTTTCGCTTATAAGGCGCAGCATTTTTCAAGGAAAGTTTGCTTGATAGCTCTAAATCTGTTGTAATTTTGAAGTGCCTCTTATAAAGGAGTGTTGTGAGAGCTCTTTTATCACAGTTATTTTGATTAAATAAGGGCTTTTTTTTACCATATTTGGCAATTAATTAACAAAATATTCAGGCTTGTGTATTATGCGATTGATGTCAATATGCCACAACCAAGACAGCTGACTTGCTCATGGAACAAAAACGGATTCCCTAAGTATTCACAGCCTTAGAAAACAATGCTTTTTGTGTTGATAGGTGTGATTTTTCTCTTTTGATTGAAAATGATATGTACCCTTTTTCACTTTTGTTCACTTAGGTGAATGGCTGTAATCAGTGTCATTGGAGAGCATCTTGTAGTTATGGTAAACATCACCAAAAATTGTGGCTGAGCCTTATAGCCCAGTATTTTGACTTACTTTTCAGTTTGTTAACTTAGAAAACTCACATTAAAAAGTTTGGGGTACTTCTTATACTACACTATGGTGCTCTACCTTTAAGGGTGGTTTTCCCTGGCAACAGACTTATACGAGTGCTTAAGCCTTAGTGAAAACAGAGCAGTAAACTCAGTCAAAACAAACTCACAAAAATCAAAACACATCCATTTGATTCCACTTGTGACACCCTTGCACCTTCTCACATACATGTAAAATAGTTCGTGGGAGTCACCAGCCAAAATTGAAAGAATAAACTACAATTTCTTCTCTCTTTACAGACACCTCTCTAAGATAAACACCGTTCTCTAAGATGGACACCTGGTGTTGGACGTTTCCCTGCTATTTTTCAGTCATGGTACTTGAAGTTATTCTAAGACAGCCTGCTGGGGCTGGTCCGTATGGCGTCCCTTTTAGAGAACTGACTGAATACAAAATGGATGAGTCAAAGTGCTGCATTTGGTTGGTTCCCCAGCTTTGACTTATGGCTTTCACTAGATCATAAGCAACAGATTCATAGAGGAATTGGAAATGCTGTTTAGATGCCATAGGTTTGATATTCACTAGAATATAATGCCCCATGCTACTGATTGTGACTTTGACTCTGTTGCAAGTGAAAACCAGGGGTGCTTACCATTTACACAAACCACCCAAGTGGAAATCTTGTGCATAAACATTAAACTGTAAAATTTGACGTGGTAGGAGAACCTGCCACAAAATACTATCCAAAACAGTTGAACAGACTAAAAAGAGTAGAAAAATATTATTGCATTGCTCATGTTTTCTGAAGAATCCCAAATGGAATAGTGCGAACCATTTGATTTTCCAACTGGAATTTCCAGTTTTTCCATGTACTGTAAATGGTAAGTACCCCAAGTCTAACGAAAATGAAAGATACGTAGTTTTGTTTCTTACCATGTCATTTACAAGGGATGCTCTTGTGGGGATACTCTGTAAGCCAAGTAAGTTGGCTAAACGTCGTGATTTCTCACGCACATTTTCATCATACTCAAGGTGTTTTTCTGTCTCACTGAGTGACACTGGAATTGGAACTGCCATGGTTGCTAGCAAAACTCGTGACGCCATTCTGCAAAACAAAGGAAAGAAAACATTTCAACTTCAAGTAATCACCATTAAGACTTTGTAAACAACTTTATAAATAACCACTACTCCTGTGAATGCTTGGAATTACAGTGTTTTACATCATTCACAAAGCTAAGGCCAATTTTGAGCAACTTTATTTCACTAAATGACAGTTGGAAGGTAAAAGTTTTGTAATGGAAATTACCGCCTTGAAGCCTTGAATATAGGATTTTTTTTTTTTTAACCTTTTTAATTTAACGCCATGTGATGAGAGGACAATTATTTTCCAAAGAAAAATTAAATTCTTTAATAGTTTGTTTCACTCAGTGTACCTTGTTTTTCAACACATTTGTCTTCCATTACCAATATGTTTACCGTGCGTTGTCTGTGCAAAAATGTATGCAACGAAACATTGCAACGAGTGACAAAAGAACGAATGTCCATCAAACACCATGTGCTTGAAAAACAAAATAGAACTTCAAGGCAGTCATGTTGTTGCGACTTCTAAACTGCACGTGCAATGTGGCATGTAAGGTTCGTTCAGCAGCTTAGTCAAAGTTAAAACTATTGTAATTTCTGGCAAAGATAAAGCACTCATTACAAATGTTGTAACAAAATTACCATATTAAAGACAAAACTTTAAAAATGTCAGTGTTTTAACCTATTCGCCCCTGAACCGCCCGTAACCGCCCGTGCGGATCCACGTCCTTTCTACCCTTTGCGACATCATCAGTTTTAACGGTCAAGGACAACTTTGCCCGCTAACTTGTGTAGAGTGAAGAGATCTTTCAAACCATACCAGAATGAGCACAATTCAGTCAAGGACACCGCAGAAAGAGGCAAAAAACCATGTAACATTGACCTGAAAATCTCCATGAAAATCTTGTTCCATTGCCCACCTACCTTTCCTTTCACCTAATCCTAAGATCCTAAAAGCTTTCCTAAAAACTATTCCCACCAAAATGAAGGCTACTAAATGCCCAGCAAGAGAAAAAAAAAATGAGGCAAGAAAAGCGAAAAAAGAGGGGAGGAGAGAGAGCGAAAAGTAAAAGTCAAGACTGCTGTGTCACTTTTAAACCCAAAAACTATGTCGAAATTTTGCTTTCTGCGCATGCCCGAACTTCGCAAGCTGATATTTTGCATCTGGATCAGAAGGCCATGAAGTGTACGACCTGTAAACCGGTTTTTGGTAAGTTTTAGCTCTTTATAGCACGACAGTGACCAGAAAACCACTCGACTAGCTTCAAAAAGCGTTTTTCGGCAAAATCTCCAGGAGCGAATGGGTTAAGCAAAGTACCAAGCTTTTTGAAAAAAATCCACTTTTCAGCATAAAACAACCAAATCTGTCTATTTCAAGTAAAATCAGGTGAAAAAGTTGGTAAAAGGCCATTTTTAGGTTTTTTGATTAACCCATTCGCCCCTGAACCGCCCGTAACCGCCCGTGCGGATCCAGGTCCTTTCTACCCTTTGTGACGTCATCAGTTTTAACGGTCAAGGACAACTTTCTTCGGTAACTTGTGCAGAGTGAAGAGATCTTTCAAACCATACCAGAATGACCACAATTCAGTCAAGGACACCGGAGAAAGAAGCAAAAAACCACGTGACAAGGACCTGAAAATCTCCATGAAAATCTTGTTCCATTACCCACCTACCTTTCCTTTCACCTAATCCTAAGATCCTAAAAGCTTTCCTAAAAACTCTTCCCACCAAAATGAAGCCTACTAAATGCCCAGCAAGAGAAAAAAAAAATGAGGCAAGAAAAGCGAAAAAAGAAGGGAGGAGAGAAAGCGAAAAGTAAAAGTCAAGACTGCTGTGTCACTTTTAAACCCAAAAACTATGTCGAAATTTTGCTTTCTGCGCATGCCCGAACTTCGCAAGCTGATATTTTGCATCTGGATCAGAAGGCCGCCAAGTGTACGACCTGTAGACCGGTTTGTGGTAAGTTTTAGCTCTTTATAGCACGACAGTGACCAGAAAACCACTCGACTAGCTTCAAAACGCGTTTTTCGGCAAAATCTCCAGGAGCGAATGGGTTAAATTTATGCAAATATCTGATATATTGAATGTTTACATAGTAAAAGTGGCAGATTCGTCTTAGCATTTTCCAACATTGTGATTTTCAATGTTTAATACTACAAGCAATTAAAAAATATTCAGTACCAGTACAACTCAATCAACACATGAAGCAATTTCGAATGGATAGAAATAGCAAAGAAATCAATCAATAATCAACACTTTATAAAACCGAGAATGGGAGATAGCAGATATCGAACACAGCTTCGGCTCCGGAGGTTTCACTTCACCGCACAAGAATGATAGAAATGACCTACACATGACACACACTTTTATCAAGAAACTGTAGCCACTAAAAAAGGAATTAACAACATAAGACAACAATGATAACACACTATTATTGAAACAATTATCATGTTTTTTTTAACACATTATTTTTATTCTGTACTGTCATCACTAGTTGACTCACTCATTATACAAGAACTGTATGTCACTCTCTATACAAAACCTGACTTACTTTTGATGTTCCTCATTAGTCATGGTGCGTTTCTGTTCCCTGGACAGTACATAAAGACGATGAAGGGTGCTTGCATGAAATAAGTAGTTGTCAGCTTTCCAGAAAACAAGAGCAACCTTCTGATAATAGTTGGCCATGACTTGTGGCTTTGGGGGCCTTTTGGACAGCTGCATCAGTCCATAAACATCCTCTACAGCTTTAAATGCCTCCTAAAGTGGAATGTAATGACATAATGCAGGGAATGAGTAAAAATTTGACTACCCATTGACGTACCATGAAATCTGGACTTTCTTGACATAAAATTGTAGTCATTAGATATTCTGTGAAAAGTGTATGGTACCGCTCAAAAGTAACTTACCAGTCTCATCTCGCTTGTCTCTCGAGAATCACTGAAGTGGCAATTTTGGAATAAATTATGAGAGAAACTCGAGATATCTCTTTGACCGAGAAACGAAAAGACAACAAAACAAAGTTCTTGCCAAAATGCTGTCACGACTAAGCTTCAAAAGTCGGCTACGTTTGTAGAAGTATGGAACTATTTCTCTTCTAACAAACAATATTATTATTTTGAGCTTAATCCAAAATATTTTGGGGCTATATCTGAGTCAGCTGAAATCCTAGTTCATTAAATGCATGCATCAAGTTGAATTTGTTGTCTGTTCCCAATCAAAGTAATTTTGGCAACTCTCCAATTTCGAGTTTCTACAAACTTGGAATTTAGCTCTTGACATTCATAACCATCTTCCATGTGAAGTTCTAATGATATTTTGCCTCAAACCCATACTCCCAGCCGTGTGTGAGAAAAACATTTTCTGCTTCTTTCATCCCTCAGCCAGCAGAAAACCACACTTGCTACCGCAATCCAAAACTTGTCTCTAAGCACATTTATTACAATGTTATGAGCTGATAAAAAAGTCAGTCTGATCAGTTTTTATCAAGCAAAAAACTCACTTAAATTAGTTTTAAGGCTGTTTTCGCTCTTAGAGGTTTCATGCGAAACTATACATGCACATGACAACCATGTTCTTTATCGAAGTATACTTGAGGAATTGGAGGTCTAACACAATGATCAGAAAGCTGTGCACAGAAGTATTTTTGTCATGATATCCATGACAATTCCGAAGATGTTTGACACTTACAGTTTTTTAACCTTCTCCTCGTGTAACGAGAGTCTCGACTCGACAGATTAATGTATTGTCTTTCGAGATGAGAGTCTTGTCTCGTGAAAGGGTGGTAACTTACTTTTGAGCAGTAATGTATTTTTGCAGTCTTAGCCAGTCCAACAACTTGATCAGTCTTTTCAATAACAAAATACATTAATTTTGAGTGATGATGACAACACAACGACCACAGACACAGACTTTAATGTCAGTATACAGTACAGGCCATGGGCATTGCGGCATTACACGCGTGTTTCATACGTGGAAATCCGCCACATTGCACGCAAATTCCACGATAAAAACACGTGTGAAACAATTGTGCAAAAAAATACACGCAAAAATACACGAGAAAACACACGCAAATTACAAAATTTGCATGTAAAACTTTACACGCAGGTTGTTATAATTTGTGTGTATTCAGTTTACTTGAGTTCTTACATCGCTGGCTGAGCGAGTGCAGGTGTACTTGTGCGGGTGGCTTTAATTTGTTAGCATAAATCAAACTTTCGAGGCACGTTCAAATGATAGTATTTACTGTGATCTGGGCTAAAAAGGATCCTAGTTTTTTGACCGAATAAACATTGTTTTTAAATATTTACATGTTCTTCGCTTGAATCTTCATTTGTAGACTTCACAGAGATTATAAAAAGGTTTCAACTAAAATCAGTTTCAGTCATCAATTCGCGACTATTTTGATGGACCAACTATATGTATTTTGTTTACAGCATTTTATCTCCTACTTTTATTGAGCGCGCTGCTTTGAGTTATTTTCTCGGGCAGCAATCTCCTTTCTCCTCTGTCCTTCCTGCAATGTAAATCCGAAATAAGACAGACTTGTTATTTTGGCAAGAATTGTCTATGTTTAAGCAAAAAATCCGGCATTACTGCAAGAATTAATTTTAGTTCCCAGGTTTTAGTTTTACCTGCGGAGGAAAGGTTTTCTTTTAAGGTCTATGTTTTCAGCAAAGAGTGTTTAATCCTTGCCAAGGGTAAACAAAATAACACACTGCATTTTTATCATTTACACAAGCATGGGATCAAATTACTTTAAATATTGTCTATTTTTAACAGACGGCGCGTCACAAATAACAAGCAAATTCGGAGTGAAATTGTATCCAAGTTTAGTGACGCATTGAATTTTCAAGCAACAAGTAAGGACATATCGTGAAGCTCGACGCTAATTCATTGTTAGAAAAAAGGCATATGTAAGAGAGAAAACTTGTGTGGTCTGTAAAATTTAGTGCCCATTGTGCGAAATCAAACCTTCTAGTCATTCCGATTGTTCGAACCCTCGCTTACTTGAACGTCGTGCTTACTCAAGTTAATTTCTCCTGGAATTCTTTCATACAGCCAGTTACTGTAATTTTACCCAAGCTACCTCGAAGTAATTTTTGTTACCCTTCAAATCATTTCTCTACAATTTTACTCTCTCCAAAGTCCGAGTGCCTGCTACGCAAGCTAAAGCATTGAACTTATTTCAAAACAACAGTCGTGGCAAGTAACATGCATCCAAGTTTACATATGAAATAGCACTTCAGCCAACAGCCAAGGAAATTGTTGATTACAAAACATGACATTCGCGATCGTAGCATGATCGTAGTAAGAGAAAGTGTATAGCAAGTTGTTTTCTCTTTCACCACGAAAAGACGTTTTCCACAATGTCCGTTTCTAATTTCACATCACCCACATTTTCTGTTGTAAAGAAATACATGCAACTTGTGTGTATTTTTGTAAGCAAAATCAGTCACCGTAAAAGTACACTCAAATTTGCGTGTAAAAAGTCTGCGTGTAAAAGCTTGTGTTAAAATTTACACACAAGTTTTTTGCGTGGATTTTTCGTGGAAATCCACCATATTGCACGCAATTTACGTGCATGTAAGTGCTGCAATGCCTGTGGCCTGTACTGTACCTGCAGCAAAGACTGGATGAGTTTAAAGAGTTTGTAAAAATCCCATTTACACTGCAGCTACATGCAGAGTTTAATGCCTCAGAGTGGAGTGACTGTTTTTCCCTAATTATGTGACAGACCTGCCATAGCTCCATGTTAATAGCACTCTCCAACTGAGCCAGCCGTGTTTCCAGATGTAGCTGTAATGTTTCTGGATTGGTGAGGTTGACTGCATTGGGTTGTCCTTGATGCTTTATTGCATTGTTTAAATGGTTCCTCAACTGAGCAAGACAAGGGATCAATTTATTATTAAGTAAACTCAGGTACAAAAAAGAGGGAGAAAAATCATTGACTGTAGACAGAGCTGACAAAGAATGTACGCTGTAATGCGTGTTTCAATGGGCAACTTGCTCCATTTCCAGTGGCAACTTTCCCTCCCCACCTTCAATGTCACTAGCAGCAAAGCATGCAAAACTGTAAGAGATAAATTATGTGCGACTATTATCTTGCCTTATTTTGTTGACGATGGAATATCAAATGAAAGTAGAGTACAGTGTATATTCAGTGTAAATGTATCCTCATCTATAGCTATTTCATTGAAGACTGAGGTTTAACAATCAACAGAAAGCAGCCAACCTTTCCCACAGGTTCTACCAGTACCAAGTTATCTTTAAGGCTGTGTAAGTCTGTAGCCTTTCATTATAAATTTTTTAATGAGTATTCTAGAGAACTGTCACTTGAAAGAAGGCATAAAAGCACTGAAAAGTAATTTTACAAACACTATGGTAAAAAAGTTCAACTTCACTTGAAGAGAATGAGCCTGTTATAACAAAAACGTCAGGGCAGTACAATGTAAATGGCTGTAAAGTCAATGTTAAATAATTCAATAAAAGTTCTAGAGCTGTATACTTAGCATTAAATAACAATGAAATTGTACTTACATTGTCACATAACTTTCGAAATTCTGTACGTCGAGAGTACTTCAAACAAAACTTGAAAGCTAAGATACCAGAGTATTCTTTGTCAGTAAACTCCTAAACTACTGTTTTGTTTAATGTATCAACCTTAAAAAATAATTTTACGTAAAAAGTTCCATGAAGTACATGTGATTTTGTTACCCTTGCATCACTGGCTATAAAACTCCTTAAAGATGACGTGCATCCTGTAGGATGCAAAGATTTACTATATCAATCTAAAGACATTTGTGGGGATTTGCTTGTGTGATTTTTAATCTGTAATAAAACGACCCCTATTGTCTGCCTAAAAAAGTTCTGTAGGTACAGATTTCAAAGAATACAAGGCATTTCCACTCAAACTCTCCAATAAAAATCATTTTATTTCCAATAGTTATATATGGCATAAAATCCAGGCCTTGTTAACCCTTTACCTTTGAAAAGTGAATGATGGAGTCTTGTACATGTAAGTTGTTTCTAACTACTGTATCTGTGAAGGAAATCTTGCAGGGTGACCATTAATGAGGACTGAGTACACTACTTTGGCAGTGCATTTATTTTCAACAGTGTCATTTGATTTTAGCATTTGACAAAATGAACTTAATTGGAATTTTTGTGGAATTTTGACTTTAGCCACTTTTGGGAATAAAAAAGGTAAAGAAATACATGTAAGGGGAACTGGGGTTGGAGTTACGTTGTATGTTGTACTGTACTTAGGAATGGAAACACGGTAGTTTACTTTCAGTATACTGTAATATTGAGTCATAATAATATTAATGTTACCAAGGTTTAATATCTGGTTACATGAGGGTTCAAGGATCTTAAGCATGGGACTCAATGGTTCTGGGCTGGGATTTTTCACAAGACCACTCCACAGTAATTTCTAACAAAATCACTGAGTACACAATGGAGTTTCCGTGTCTATGTACATGTACATAAACAGCATAGCAAGTTATCAAAAGATATGTTACCTTGTTGGGCAGTGTCATGGTATAGCTTCTCCACACGGACATTATTTCTCAGCAGTTCTAACACGTTGCGGTAAGCTTCCCAAAGAAACTTCACCCAGGGTGTTAACATAACCCTGTCAGTACGATCCTGAGTGTCCTCTCCACTGACAAAACTGAGCAATACACTAAAGAGGTAAAGAAAGACAGAAGTTTAATCTAACAAAATCAGAAATTATTTTCAAACGTCAGAAAGTGGTGGTTTTGAAACCCACACCAAGCTTTCATGTTTCTGAGCATGTTGTACTACTCAGAAAAGCTATAGCAGGTTATTTAAAAAAACTATTACTACATGTATGTGTACATGACACTAAGGCTACTGATATGTTTGAGTGTGCAGGACACTAGCATGATACATACAATGTATGTAGCATTCAATATTATCCTTGTCTTATTTTCTACTGTTCTTGGGTATGGTAAATAAATGTAAAGTGTAAGATTACAATGACCCACAAAACAAACGACAATAACAAAAGGAGCATACAGTTTGTGAATGCCTCAACATTTCATATTAATTTTTAATTTCCACTGCAAACAAAAAGGAGACATTCACAAAACAAGAACAAGGATTAGTGTCTATGTTGTGGTTCAATTTTATCCTTGTTTCAAATTTTCTTTTCTTTTGTTTCAAACTCATTATCATACATTACCGTACCCAAAAACGAAAAAAAGGAAAATTTGAACTACAGATAAAATTGAACCACAAATTTTCAGCAGCTTGCTTGAGTCGCTTCATATTACCCAACTGTGAATAGGGAGACTTTGAGGCCTGGGGGTTGCGGCTTCCATATAAAAGTGACGGGAATGCTCGTCGTCTCACTAAGGGGTGAAATGGAAAGTCACTATATTTGCCCATTCAGGTATCGCTTGGGGTTGTGCATAAAGAAATTTACAAAAAATGCCATTATGTCTGTTTTCATATGGTCTCCTTTAGGAGTCAGTTTAAGCTTGAGCCACACCCACATTGGTCTGTCTTAGGGGTTTAATTTTAATTTTGTGATGTCAGAGCATCCCCGTCACTTTTACATGTATATGGGAGTGCCCCCTAGGCTATAAGGGTAAATTGGTATGATGCATGATTCTTCTAAATTATGGGAACAGCATTAGATTTTGAAACATTGTTTTTAAATATTTACATGTTCTTCGCTTGAATCTTCATTTGTAGACTTCACAGAGATTATAAAAAGGTTTCAACTAAAATCAGTTTCAGTCATCAATTCGCGACTATTTTGATGGACCAACTATATGTATTTTGTTTACAGCATTTTATCTCCTACTTTTATTGAGCGCGCTGCTTTGAGTTATTTTCTCGGGCAGCAATCTCCTTTCTCCTCTGTCCTTCCTGCAATGTAAATCCGAAATAAGACAGACTTGTTATTTTGGCAAGAATTGTCTATGTTTAAGCAAAAAATCCGGCATTACTGCAAGAATTAATTTTAGTTCCCAGGTTTTAGTTTTACCTGCGGAGGAAAGGTTTTCTTTTAAGGTCTATGTTTTCAGCAAAGAGTGTTTAATCCTTGCCAAGGGTAAACAAAATAACACACTGCATTTTTATCATTTACACAAGCATGGGATCAAATTACTTTAAATATTGTCTATTTTTAACAGACGGCGCGTCACAAATAACAAGCAAATTCGGAGTGAAATTGTATCCAAGTTTAGTGACGCATTGAATTTTCAAGCAACAAGTAAGGACATATCGTGAAGCTCGACGCTAATTCATTGTTAGAAAAAAGGCATATGTAAGAGAGAAAACTTGTGTGGTCTGTAAAATTTAGTGCCCATTGTGCGAAATCAAACCTTCTAGTCATTCCGATTGTTCGAACCCTCGCTTACTTGAACGTCGTGCTTACTCAAGTTAATTTCTCCTGGAATTCTTTCATACAGCCAGTTACTGTAATTTTACCCAAGCTACCTCGAAGTAATTTTTGTTACCCTTCAAATCATTTCTCTACAATTTTACTCTCTCCGAAGTCCGAGTGCCTGCTACGCAAGCTAAAGCATTGAACTTATTTCAAAACAACAGTCGTGGCAAGTAACATGCATCCAAGTTTACATATGAAATAGCGCTTCAGCCAACAGCCAAAGAAATTGTTGATTACAAAACATGACATTCGCGATCGTAGCATGATCGTAATAAGAGAAAGTGTATAGCAAGTTGTTTTCTCTTTCACCACGAAAAGACGTTTTTCCACAATGTCCGTTTCTAATTTCACATCACCCACATTTTCTGTTGTAAAGAAATACACACAACTTGTGTGTATTTTTGTAAGCAAAATCAGTCACCATAAAAGTACACTCAAATTTGCGTGTAAAAAGTCTGCGTGTAAAAGCTCGCAAGTTTTTTGCGTGGATTTTTCGTGGAAATCCACCATATTGCACGCAATTTACGTGCATGTAAGTGCTGCAATGCCTGTGGCCTGTACTGTACCTGCAGCAAAGACTGGATGAGTTTAAAGAGTTTGTAAAAATCCCATTTACACTGCAGCTACATGCAGAGTTTAATGCCTAATTATGTGACAGACCTGCCATAGCTCCATGTTAATAGCACTTTCCAACTGAGCCAGCCGTGTTTCCAGATGTAGCTGTAATGTTTCTGGATTGGTGAGGTTGACTGCATTGGGTTGTCCTTGATGCTTTATTGCATTGTTTAAATGGTTCCTCAACTGAGCAAGACAAGGGATCAATTTATTATAAGTCAGGATAATATTATTAAGTAAACTCAGGTACAAAAAAGAGGGAGAAAAATCATTGACTGTAGACAGAGCTGACAAAGAATGTACGCTGTAATGCGTGTTTCAATGGGCAACTTGCTCCATTTCCAGTGGCAACCCACCTTCAATGTCACTAGCAGCAAAGCATGCAAAACTGTAAGAAATAAATTATGTGCGACTATTATCTTGCCTTATTTCATTGACGATGGAATATCAAATGAAAGTAGAGTACACTACAATGCGCAGAAATATTCAGTGTAAATGTATCCTCATCTATAGCTATTTCATTGAAGACTGAGGTTTAACAATCAACAGAAAGCAGCCAACCTTTCCCACAGGTTCTACCAGTACCAAGTTATCTTTAAGGCTGTGTAAGTCTGTAGCCTTTCATTATAAATTTTTTAATGAGTATTCTAAAGAACTGTCACTTGAAAGAAGGCATAAAAGCACTGAAAAGTAATTTTACAAACACTATGGTAAAAAAGTTCAACTTCACTTAAAGAGAATGAGCCTGTTATAACAAAAACGTCAGGGCAGTAGAATGTAAATGGCTGTAAAGTCAATGTTAAATAATTCAATAAAAGTTCTAGAGCTGTATACTTAGCATTAAATAACAATGAAATTGTACTTACATTGTCACATAACTTTCGAAATTCTGTACGTCGAGAGTACTTCAAACAAAACTTGAAAGCTAAGATACCAGAGTATTCTTTGTCAGTAAACTCCTAAACTACTGTTTTGTTTAATGTATCAACCTTAAAAAATAATTTGACGTAAAAAGTTCCATGAAGTACATGTGATTTTGTTACCCTTGCATCACTGGCTATAAAACTCCTTAAAGATGACGTGCATCCTGTAGGATGCAAAGATTTACTATATCAATCTAAAGACATTTGTGGGGATTTGCTTGTGTGATTTTTAATCTGTAATAAAACGACCCCTATTGTCTGCCTAAAAAAGTTCTGTAGGTACAGATTTCAAAGAATACACGGCATTTCCACTCAAACTCTCCAATAAAAATCATTTTATTTCCAATAGTTATATATGGCATAAAATCCAGGCCTTGTTAACCCTTTACCTTTGAAAAGTGAATGATGGAGTCTTGTACATGTAAGTTGTTTCTAACTACTGTATCTGTGAAGGAAATCTTGCAGGGTGACCATTAATGAGGACTGAGTACACTACTTTGGCAGTGCATTTATTTTCAACAGTGTCATTTGATTTTAGCATTTGACAAAATGAACTTAATTGGAATTTTTGTGGAATTTTGACTTTAGCCACTTTTGGGAATAAAAAAGGTAAAGAAATACATGTAAGGGGAANATATTCAGTGTAAATGTATCCTCATCTATAGCTATTTCATTGAAGACTGAGGTTTAACAATCAACAGAAAGCAGCCAACCTTTCCCACAGGTTCTACCAGTACCAAGTTATCTTTAAGGCTGTGTAAGTCTGTAGCCTTTCATTATAAATTTTTTAATGAGTATTCTAGAGAACTGTCACTTGAAAGAAGGCATAAAAGCACTGAAAAGTAATTTTACAAACACTATGGTAAAAAAGTTCAACTTCACTTGAAGAGAATGAGCCTGTTATAACAAAAACGTCAGGGCAGTACAATGTAAATGGCTGTAAAGTCAATGTTAAATAATTCAATAAAAGTTCTAGAGCTGTATACTTAGCATTAAATAACAATGAAATTGTACTTACATTGTCACATAACTTTCGAAATTCTGTACGTCGAGAGTACTTCAAACAAAACTTGAAAGCTAAGATACCAGAGTATTCTTTGTCAGTAAACTCCTAAACTACTGTTTTGTTTAATGTATCAACCTTAAAAAATAATTTGACGTAAAAAGTTCCATGAAGTACATGTGATTTTGTTACCCTTGCATCACTGGCTATAAAACTCCTTAAAGATGACGTGCATCCTGTAGGATGCAAAGATTTACTATATCAATCTAAAGACATTTGTGGGGATTTGCTTGTGTGATTTTTAATCTGTAATAAAACGACCCCTATTGTCTGCCTAAAAAAGTTCTGTAGGTACAGATTTCAAAGAATACAAGGCATTTCCACTCAAACTCTCCAATAAAAATCATTTTATTTCCAATAGTTATATATGGCATAAAATCCAGGCCTTGTTAACCCTTTACCTTTGAAAAGTGAATGATGGAGTCTTGTACATGTAAGTTGTTTCTAACTACTGTATCTGTGAAGGAAATCTTGCAGGGTGACCATTAATGAGGACTGAGTACACTTCTTTGGCAGTGCATTTATTTTCAACAGTGTCATTTGATTTTAGCATTTGACAAAATGAACTTAATTGGAATTTTTGTGGAATTTTGACTTTAGCCACTTTTGGGAATAAAAAAGGTAAAGAAATACATGTAAGGGGAACTGGGGTTGGAGTTACGTTGTATGTTGTACTGTACTTAGGAATGGAAACACGGTAGTTTACTTTCAGTATACTGTAATATTGAGTCATAATAATATTAATGTTACCAAGGTTTAATATCTGGTTACATGAGGGTTCAAGGATCTTAAGCATGGGACTCAATGGTTCTGGGCTGGGATTTTTCACAAGACCACTCCACAGTAATTTCTAACAAAATCACTGAGTACACAATGGAGTTTCCGTGTCTATGTACATGTACATAAACAGCATAGCAAGTTATCAAAAGATATGTTACCTTGTTGGGCAGTGTCATGGTATAGCTTCTCCACACGGACATTATTTCTCAGCAGTTCTAACACGTTGCGGTAAGCTTCCCAAAGAAACTTCACCCAGGGTGTTAACATAACCCTGTCAGTACGATCCTGAGTGTCCTCTCCACTGACAAAACTGAGCAATACACTAAAGAGGTAAAGAAAGACAGAAGTTTAATCTAACAAAATCAGAAATTATTTTCAAACGTCAGAGAGTGGTGGTTTTGAAACCCACACCAAGCTTTCATGTTTCTGAGCATGTTGTACTACTCAGAAAAGCTATAGCAGGTTATTTAAAAAAACTATTACTACATGTACGTGTACATGACACTAAGGCTACTGATATGTTTGAGTGTGCAGGACACTAGCATGATACATACAATGTATGTAGCATTCAGTATTATCCTTGTCTTATTTTCTACTGTTCTTGGGTATGGTAAATAAATGTAAAGTGTAAGATTACAAAACAAACGACAATAACAAAAGGAGCATACAGTTTGTGAATGCCTCAACATTTCATATTAATTTTTAATTTCCACTGCAAACAAAAAGGAGACATTGACAAAACAAGAACAAGGATTAGTGTCTATGTTGTGGTTCAATTTTATCCTTGTTTCAAATTTTCTTTTCTTTTGTTTCAAACTCATTATCATACATTACTGTACCCAAAAACGAAAAAAAGGAAAATTTGAACTACAGATAAAATTGAACCACAAATTTTCAGCAGCTTGCTTGAGTCACTTCATATTACCCAACTGTGAATAGGGGGGCTTTGAGGCCTTGGGGTTGCGGCTTCCATATAAAAGTGACGGGAATGCTCGTCGTCTCACTAAGGGGTGAAATTGCAGATTTTGATCTTACTTAAGGTGTTTGGGATGGAAAGTCACTATATTTGCCCATTCAGGTATCGCTTGGGGTTGTGCATAAAGAAATTTACAAAAAATGCCATTATGTCTGTTTTAATATGGTCTCCTTTAGGAGTCAGTTTAAGCTTGAGCCACACCCACATTGGTCTGTCTTAGGGGCTTAATTTTAATTTTGTGATGTCAGAGCATCCCCGTCACTTTTACATGTATATGGGAGTGCCCCCTAGGCTATAAGGGTAAATTGGTATGATGCATGATTCTTCTAAATTATGGGAACAGCATTAGATTTTGAAATCAATCCTTAAATTCATATCTAATTAATGGCAAACATTGCAAACAAGGAGTACCTTTCTGGAGTCTGTATCTGATCCAGATCCTCCACAATAGGAACCTGGTCACGGGATTCTTTCCTAGCAGTTTCTGCTCGGTCTTCTGCAAGCTTAAGGAAGTAGCGAATGACATCCTCAAGAGAAACAATGTTAACCTGCTGGCAAATCAACTTGTATTGGTACAATCCTTCCTTTGCAATGTGGCTTCTTCGAAGGTCTACGCACAGCTCCAAGTACTTGAAGAGAATGGGCTCATGGATTTTGTTTTGCCAGGTGCGATGTTTCTTGCTTTTTATTACATCATACAATGCATCCAATGCTGGCTCTTTCTTGCCAACTTCAATGAATTCTACAGTAAAAGAAACATTTATTCTTAATAGTTTGTGGTATTTCAGTGAGCCATAGATATGAATCATGAATTCATTACCTTTTCAAGTCATATATTTTTTTCCTGGCCCTGGAAGCCATAAACCAGTAACATGTAATGCACTATTTGGACGATTCACGATGGTGGACAATAGAAAACTGATAAATGCTAAACGCCATTTTAATTTTGTATAATATAAGCTGAGTAATAATTAAGGAATTGGTCTACCAGTTAAACATTTTAATTTCATATATACCGGTAAACTGAGTCATAATTAAAGAATATTGGTCTACTAGTTAAAAATCTGAGTGGAAAAATAGTGAATTTTTGTAAAATGATCCCTAAGCCTGAAAATATTACTGGGAAACTATTTTCTGTTCCATTATTTTAGGACCATGGTAACAACACAGTACCAGAAACAATCGATACGGTGAAATCCTAGGGCTTACTATCAGTAAACAGTACAGCAACAAATTAATACTGTTGAACTCAGCTAGAAGTCAAATAGCAGTCAAGATGAACACCAGCTCAATGGCAAAAACGTTAACAACACAGGACATGAAATTGCACCTAATATAGGCAACAGGGTCACCAAATGTTTCACTTTGGCGACTAAACTCTTAAAATTAGTCACCAAATTGCTGCCTAAAACTTTGCCTTGGGATCCCGTGATTTGCTCGAGACACAAGAGTAATCTGCGGCAGTGATCACAGGGCATCTAAACCTTCATGTTCAGTTTGTTTTCAAGAAAACAGCACGTTCATAATCTCCTACAGTGGCTGAAGAAGCCATCTTGAATTTAAGTAGCCTTTTGTGTTGTGTATAACCCTTTCTGGTGTCACAAAACACCATCTTGGACTAAAATAGCCCTTTACAAAGGCCTTTGTCCGGACAATACGATATATATGTATTATAGACCATGTAGGCAGCTAAGTTCATGTTGAGCTTTAAAGGGCTTTCTTCCTATTGCATGATAAAGAAAAGACATCATTGTTATTACCGGTAATAACAAATAAGCCATAAAAGAATGCCATTAACTGCAAGAACACTTTTTTCCCATTTTTGGTGAAAATAATCATTCATTTGTTCATAAAACTTGTACTTTTTTGATGATGAGTGGGTATTGCATGAAAGTGGACACAATCGTATTTTAGTTACTGAGTTTGTCCAGTAAACTGGCGCTAGAGCAGGTTAAGAGGCTTGTTGGATATTGATGTTATCCTCACTTTGAAAGAAAAAGGTTTTTTGCTAAAAATTAATCAAATCTATTCAATTTTTTCATGAAAAACATTAAAATATATTAAATAATGCAAAATAGTTGAAATTTTATGGTCGGACAGTTGAGTCTACTGAAGAAATGGTAAACTCTGGTGATTATCAGCGAGATTTCATACTCTTATCTGGAGACCAGGAGATACGATCCAAAATCTGGAGTGTCCTGGAATATCCAGGAGAGTTGATAGCACTGATCTTGTAAATGAACAGAGTTAAAAAAATTATATCGCTTTCAAATAGTGGTGAACAACTTTTTGGAATTGGGTACTACTCTAAATTATTTCGGAGCTAACTGGCTACTGGAGAAAAAAGATATTTTCATGCCCTGCAACAAAGAGAAACCAAGTGATTGGTTTCATAGTACAGTATTATTTTCTATTTCGTTTTGTTTGTATGGAGCTTGTTTCACCCATCTGATTTCTTCAAATTTGAGTTGCAATCTATGTTTATGGTGCTACGATCAACTGGTCCACTCTGATAAAGAAACTAATGCAAACGTATATCGTCAAAGTCTCTGGGAGTGTTCTTAACATTTCCACTGTTCATTTGAGTGGCATTTGACACCTCATATGATTATCTATCGAAACCTGTATTAGGCGGACACCCTGTATCAAGCTGACACTACATCATTCCCCAAGGGTGTCCGCTTAATACAGGTTTCACTGTACCTATAATACATACTAAAATATATACCTTCTATGTCTGTCTTATACTTATATGTCTTATACCTTTCTCGTTCTCTAAACACTTGTCATGACTAGCAAGCCACCAAGCCACTTCTGTTTAAGACCTTAAAATATGGCCCTGTATTCTGTAGTTGCTCCTATATTTTTTCATGTGGTTTTGATAAAAGCTTACCACATAATGACTTCAATCAATTTAACATCTATCTTGAACTAGCAATAAAGGCTTAAATCAACCTTATGATCGATACCTGTATAATCACGTGGCCACAATTCTTAGCTTAAAAGCACAGGAACGCGTAAGCTTGGCTATTTTAATTGTATTCGAAACAAATATGAAGAGCCGGTAGCGATGAAATCGTTTTTTTCACTACAACTAAGCACCGAAAAGGCCAAAACCCTCTCGAAAAGCTGAAAAAGCTAAAATCAGCTAACAAATGATCAAAATTAAAGCTTCTTAAAATGGCGGACAGGAGTACGAAAGGATTACTGCTTTGTTTCAAACCTTTTTGATTTCTAAATAGGTGCAAGACAATGCCTTATGAAGTAAACGAAAACTATTTCTTACCATTAGCTCTTTTAAGGGCATTTTCTGGCCGCTGAAAGTAGACCGGCATGGTGAAAATATCTCACGCCGCCTCTTTCACGATTAACCAAGAAGAGAGAAATGAGTGCAAGGCATTGTGGTCATCTAGTTCTGGCCTCGTTTTCGTGACAAAGGATCACGTGGTCTCCAAGATGTTAGCTTACGAGGTTGTCCTCGCCCCCTCCCCCATCGTTTTCTCGTTTGACCTCGGTACATCATTTCCCCCACCACCAAAAAAACGAAGAAACAACAACAACAAAACCGCCTGCTACGTACGAGCAGGCTACGGAAAGGCCAGAGGAAAAGATCTTAGGTGATTGGAAGAAGTGTCTCCCTCGCGCGCGCCCGTTCTCTCTTTCAACCACTTCCTCTAACCGTTTGCCACGCAGGCTTAAAAGATATGGTATCTTTGTGTCGAACACCACTTGTTCGGAGGAAGCAGCCCCCGGAAGCAAACCCATCACAGAGCAAGTTTCAACTCATATTAAAGGGAACCTTTAAGTTATCATTGTTTTTTTTTCTTTGAAACTTTTATCTGTATTACCAGAAACCAGAAACCCATAAGGGGTTGTTCAACCCCTTATGAGTTTCTGGTATTACTTATTACATGTTATTAGCTGTTGGCAATAGAGTGTTTTCACACGACGTCAAGGCGGCCGTATTGGTGTCCCAAAACAATGAAACGGCGGCCATGTTGGTGTCCCAAACCAATCATGTGGGAGTTGAACTCCTTTCTTATGCAAACGCTTTCTTTTGTTTCAATAAATTTGCATAGATGCTGACCACGTGAGTGAAAACACTCTTTAGACTTCTAGGAGTCACTTAAGGGTGACCACACCTTTCTTTTTAAGTGAGGCCTTCCCAACCTCGTCCCCAGGGCTTTTCCCTCAAAAAATGGGTGGGACGGAGGAAGGCCCTGGCATCAGTAGACTGTTCACAGTCCCCTATTTTTTCGTGAGATCGTTTAGATATACCGCTTCTTACCGTCACGGGTATCTTGATTTTCAAATGTACCAAGGGGGCGGGCGTTGGGGATTATAGCTCGGGGGGGGGGGGGGGGGGGGG